GTCAAAAGTGAAAACATTACTAAAGCACAATCAATCTGAACTATATAATTGTATATTTACTTCCACCCTTTTCCCTCCTTTTTCACCCATTTTGTTTTCCTCTTTCTTCACCTTTTTATTTTCTTCTATTTTACTCCCACGTTTACCGATCACACCCATAATGTTATTTAAGTGTGTCGCTACAAAAGACCATAACAATAAATTTAAGACATTTGTATCAAATCGTGTGGAAAATATATATTGTCTTTTGGATGTAGAAACGTACAATAGATACAAAGAGAACTATGTCACACTGAAAATTAATAAAATATTTCGTTAGAATCTTATTCAGAACATATCTTTACTCTTTATTTTTTAAGTCTTGACGAAAATATATCTTAAATTGAACATGATCCAAAACTTTGGTGAACACTTCGGCAAGTTGGTCTATTATGTTAGGACCTGTCGTCTTGAGGAGGTGATCTTACAAATATCACAAACAGACTGAAAATAATTTTTGATGTATTTCATGTTAATTATCTTCCATAATTTTTTTTGAAAAATTGCTTTTAAAAATCAATCGAAAATGAAAACGATGACTCATTCACATTCTGATGCGGGATCTTAACACACACTCTCTTTAAAATGGCTCCATTTTATTTTAGATCGGTTAATGAACTTATTGCGCACCATGTTAAATTTCGAAAGCTTTCAATTAAAAAATCAATTGAGAATAATGGTTTATGTATCTTATATAGTGTTAGCCATTTCCCACTTCTGATGTATTTTAACGTACGTTCATAAACACAAGATTAATGGAAATATGGATAGTAGATTAAGTATATATAAAGAGACATTGGTGCTCCATATTGAAAAGTTAGATTTCCCAACTCTAATCTTCATATGGTAAGATAATCATATTCAAAACCCCATATACCTTTGACATCTCCATTGTAACACCCATAAACCAAAAAGTGGATTTATGGGTTGGGTGTCGATCGACACACAGCAATCGGAGCTGTGGTTGATGAGATAATCGATTCCGAAATCAAGGTGAGTGCGCGACCATAGACCCTCGGATTAGGATTTGATGGAATATGATTGATTGCTGTTGTTCCTGGTTGTATTCGTGTTTGGATATTGAATTTTGTGCAGGAGATCGATGAAAACGCGTCTGGAATCGATCCATGAGAGGATATGATCGATTCTGGTTTTCTGCGTTTTCTGGGCTCCGTGTCAAGCGACACACGGTGTTTGTGTTGAGCGACACAGACT